CCAGCTGCTCTGTCACTTCCTGGTTGTTTTATTACTTCCTGTCAGCTGCTCTGTCACTTCCTGTTTGTTTTATAACTTCCTGTCAGCTGCTCTGTCACTTCCTGGTTGTTTTATAACTTCCTGTCAGCTGCTCTGTCACTTCCTGTTTGTTTTAAAACTTCCTGTCAGCTGCTCTGTCACTTCCTGGTTGTTTTATAACTTCCTGTCAGCTGCTGTGTCACTTCCTGTGTGTCTGTTGGCTGCAGTGCTGTAACCTGCAGCTGGTGGAGAACCTGAAGGATCCGCTGTGCTTCAGAGTGTCAGATCAGACGATTCCCAAGCAGCAGCAGCACGTTGTCCAGGTGAACTTTAACTTCTGTCTTTTAAAGGCTTTAACTGAAGAAACTGAACTTCTTGTTGTTTTTTTCTAAAAAAACTTCTTCAGTTCTGACTGTGGGTTGGTAGTTCAATGATCATAGTAATAACACTGTTAGGTCACGTGAGCACCCTGTTCATCCTGGGAGGTGATCATGTGACCACACAAACCTGTTGTTGGTACCTGCTAAGCCTTGAACCAAAGACTGTAAATAGGTGGACATCAAATCAGAACCTAGAAGTTGAAGCCAGAACAGAACCAGATTTCCTGTTTGTTGGTTCCCTGACKCACTTTAAACCCCGCCCCCTCTATGTAAACAAACAGTACATGCCCTTCCTAAAACACTAAAAACACACTTTAGTAAAACTTTAGTCCTCATGAGAACTGAAGAGGTTTTCTGGACGTCTGATGTGTCGGATGCTCCTTCCTTCCTGCTCAGGCCAAGAACCAGGAGGAGAAGAGGCTGTGGGTCCATTACCTGAAGAGACTCATCATGGAGAACCACCCAGCTTCACTCCCACAGAAGGTGAGGAGGGACGTCACAGCTGTGAAACTGCAGTCTGAGTCCTGGAAACTCACACAGCTCCAGAGTGAAAGGCCTTTCAGTGTTTTTACTTTTCACCACAGAGAAATGTTCCTCGCACTAATGATTACAGACATGATTAGCAGTGCTGCTAACTTAGCAACTTACTCAGTTTTCAGACAAATCTCTCAACTTTTTACACTCTTATTAGAGACTTCTGGAGACTTTGGCGACAGCAGTGAGTGGTGCTGTTAGCCCCGCCCCCTTTCCAAAGCCTGACAGCCTCCAGCTGCTGTCAGAGCAGAGAGGAGCCCCACGTCTGCTGCTGCCCTGCTTTAGAAAACAGGATGTCAAAATGTTTCCTCACCAGAATAACTCTCTGGACCSGGCTGCGTTTCACCCACAGACTGACATGTTTGAACTGCTGAGACATTTTTAATAATTTCATCAGACTGTCATAAAAACGTTTTCCTTTTTAAGGTTTTTGTTTTCACCTGAATGAGAAGTCTCCTGACAGGTTTCACCTCCAGTCTTTTTCTTTGTGTTTTATCTTGCAGGCGAGACAAGTCCTGGGAGATACCTTCAGTCAGAGTGAGTTTCCATCCATGAAGCAGATCTTTAACCTGCTTTCATCAGGTGACATCAGGTGACATCAGGTGACATCACTTCTTTTCTTTCAGCACCTGAGTTTGAGCATGACTACCTGACAAAGTCGTGTGCTTCACCGCGATTGGACGACGTTCACGGTTACCACCGAGGCAGACGTCAGTCAGGTCAGGGTCAGTCATCTCTGGAACAAACAGACTTCACGTTCTTCACACATGTTCCAGCAGCTGGTTCAGGTTCAGAGAAACCTCCAACATGTAGAACAAGACCAGAGATCAGGTTCCACTCTCAGCTTTGTTGGTGAAGGTGATGAAGTAAAGTTTCATCAGAGTCAGGGTACTTACATGACAGYAGACCAACACACCTCCAGACTGTCTGAGGGGTTTTCATTCTACAGGACAGGAAGTCCCAAAGAACTGTTCCCTGGTTCTGATCTGCACCTGTACTGGATTAAACCTGCAGGGACTGGACCAGAGGAGGACAGAGGACATTTGAAGTGTAAAAACTATCTTCAGCAGATGGACAGGATCAGACCTGAACCAGGACCTAAGATATCCCCAGTCCTTCCTTTGAACATGTCCAGAACAAAGAACTGAAACTGAGTCAAAGAAAACCTACAAGATCCTTCAGAAAGTTTGAACTGTTGATCCGGATCACTTTGAGAGATTACAGGAAACTTTGAGTCACTGGYATGAAAACTGGTTTGAAACTTTAGGCTGGATCAATACTTTGGACCAGGACTGGATTAMGATCTTAGACCAGGACTCAGCAGGAGCTGTCTGGTTTAACGTGTTTGGATTTTATTTAAAAAAACAGGAAATAAAAATCATATTTAACTGTAAAGAATTGATTTATGTATTTGGTGAAAACTTTGTTCTGCTGTTTGTCTGAACAGAACCTTCAGAGTTGCTGCTTTACACACCTGAGAAGTCCAGAAAAAGTCTGCCAGTGCTGCTGGAGGGGAACCTTCCATACCGACGGTCCAGGAGACAGTCAGGTACTCCTTCAGGCAGCACTCAGGGTCCAAAACCCCACAGCTCACATGTCCTGGTCTTTCTTCAGGTCAAGATGTTGAAATAAAGTTCTCAAACTCTAAACTGATGTGAACTTTCTGTAGTGAACTAAGAACCAGTAACAGAAYAGACTCCCAACTGTCTGTTTCACAGTTTGAGTCTAAAATGAACTTTAGTGTCCAATCAGTGATCTGCTGTTGCTTAATAATGATGGAAAGTTTTTGTCTCTTTCTGTTTCAGCTCCTGCTAAAGACATACAGGCAGCATTTCATCCCCATGGTAAGGTCAAATACTTACTCTAGTACTTTGGTATGAGTGTTACTGTTCAGTGCATGCTTCAAGGTGAGGGTCAATGTGTAGTAATGTGTAGTTTGTTTCTCAATGTGTAGTTTGTTTCTCAATGTGTAGTTTGTTTCTCAATGTGTAGTTTGTTTCTCAATGTGTAGTTTGTACCTC